CCCACCCCTTTCTCCATTCCCTCACACCTATCCTCTCCTTCCCTACCCACTCCCCGACCTCTCTCCCCCCACCCCCTCTTCTCCACCCCTCCCTCCCCTTTCCGTCACCCCTCCCTCCTCGACAAACACCTGTAGTTCAGCCCCACCCCTCTCCTCTCCCGTAAACCATCACACGTTGATCTCAAGTGTTCCTGCTGCCTCCATAAACTCAGGTAAACTGCCAAGACCTCATGTCACTTCGTAAACTAGTCAGGAGTTCATATATTGCCCCGTAAACTAACTAGAAGTTCATATGTTGCCCCGTAAACTAACTAGGAGTTCATATATTGCCCCATAAACTAACTAGAAGTTCATATGTTGCCCCGTAAACTAATTAGAAGTTTATATATTGCCCCGTAAACTAACTAAGAGTTCATATTTTGCCCCGTAAACTAATTAGAAGTTTATATATTGCCCCGTAAACTAACTAGAAGTTCATATGTTGCCCCGTAAACTAATTAGAAGTTTATATATTGCCCCGTAAACTAACTAAGAGTTCATATTTTGCCCCGTAAACTAGCTAGGAGTTCATATACTTCTCCGTAAACTAACTAAGATTTAATTTATTGCCCGTAAAATAATCTATAGTTTATATATTGCCCCGTAAACTACCAAGACTTCCTTCTACCTCGTAAACTAACCATGAGTTAATATATTGCCTGTAAACTTCCAAAAATTCTAGTACACCCGTAAACTACTAAGATATCCTGGTACCCCGTAAACTAACCAGGAGTTCATATATTGCCCCGTAAACCACCACGAGCTTCTGCAGCCTCCGTAAACCAGTATATATTATAAACCCAGACCACAGTTATCGAACTTCATCCCCTCACCACCTCTACCCCCCCACCACCTCTCCTCCCTCACCACCTCTCCCTCCCTCACCACCATTCCCTCACCACCTCCCTCCCTTCACCACCTCTCCCCCTCACCACCTCTACCCCCCTCACCACCTCCCCCCTCACCACCTCCTCCCCCTCACCACCTCCCTCCCTCACCACCTCTCCCTCCCTCACCACCATTCCTCCTCACTACCTCCCCTCCCTTCAACACCCTCCCCCTCACCACTCCTACTCCCCCTCACCCACCTCTCCCCCCCACCACCTCTACCCCTCTCACCACCCCTCCTCCCTCACCACCTCTCCCTCCCTCACCACCTCTCCCTCCCTCACCACCTCTCCCTCCCTCACCCACCTCTACCCCTCTCACCACCTCTCCCTCCCTCACCATCTCTCCCTCCCTCACCCCATCCCTTCCCTCACCACCTCTACACCCTCACCACCCTTACACCCCTCACCACCTTCTCCCCTCATCCCTCCCTCTCTCTACCCTTCAACCCTTCCTCAACCCCTCCTCCTCTCCCCGTCCCCTTCCTCTCCCCTCCCTTCCTTCCCCTCCTCCTTCCTCCCTCCCTCCTCACCCATCCCCTCTCTTACCCCCCCTCTGCCAACCCCCACAAGGTCATAAACACAGGGGCGTCAACACCTGGTGAGTATAAACGTCAACACCAGGCTACCATTCAGTCTGTATCCCTGTCATGACGTTCTCCTTCCCCTCCCTCCTTCGAGTCCCTGTGTCCTTCCTTCTCTCCCTCCCTCCCTCTTTCCTTCTCTCCCTCCCACCTTCTTTCATTCTCTCCTTCCCTCCCTTCATTCCTGTCTTCTCCTCTCTCTCCCCTTTTACTTTCCTTCCCGTCCCTCTTTTCTTTTTCCTTCCTTCTTTCCCATTCCTCCTTCCCTCTTTTTTTCATTTCTTTCCTTCTCCCCTCTCTTTCATCCCTGTCTTTCCTTCTCTTCTTCCTCTTTTATTCCTTCCCTTCTCCTTCCTATTTCCTTCCTTTTCCTCCCTCCCTCTTTCCTTCCTTCCTTCCTTCCTTCCTTCCTGTTCCTCCTCTCCCAGACCTAACTGAAGTGTTTTCCTTATTTCAGATGATATATCCTGCCAGTGACATGATGACGTTCCTTGTTTGGTTGAGATCGATCGGAGGTCAAGTGTGTGTCAAAGGTCGAGTGTCAAGGGTCTAAGGTCAAGTGTTATAGGTCAAAGTTAAAAGTCATGGGTCAAGGTCGAGTGTCAAGGGTCTAAGGTCAAGTGTTATAGGTCAAGGTTAAAACTCATAGGTCAAGGTCGAGTATCATAGTCAAAGGTCAAGTTCAAGGGTGAGGTGTCTAAGGTTAAGTTTCAGGGCCGAAGGTCTAGTGTCAAAATCAAAGGTCAAGGGTGAGGTGTCAAGGGTCAAGATCGAGTGCCAAAGGTTAAGTCAAGGATGATGTGTCAAAATTAAAGGTAAAGGGTCAAGGACGAGGTCAAGGTCAAAGGTCAAGGGTTGAGACAGGTGATCAAGGTAGTTGGGCTTCTTCACCTTAAGACTTCGATGATTTTGGCTCGAGTGTCTTGTGTGTCAGGCGCTGGTGTGAGACAAGGCAGGAAGGATGGAAGGAGAGGTGGAAGGAAGGAAGGAAAGATGGAAGGAAGGAAGGAAGGAAAGAAAGATGGAAGGAAGGAAGGAAGGAAGGAAGGAAAGATGGAAGGAAGGAAAGAAGGAATAATGGAAGGAAGGAAGGAAAGATGGAAGGAATAATGGAAGGAAGGAAGGAAAGATGGAAGGAATAATGGAAGGAAGGAAGGAAGGAAGGAGAGAAGGAAAGAAGAAGATAATGGAAGGGAAGGAAGGAAGGAAGGGAAGGAAGGAAAGATGGAAGGAAGGAAGGAAAGGAAGGAAGGAAGGAAGGATGGAAGAAGGAAGGGAAGGAAAGATGGAAGGAGGAAGAGGAAAGATGGAAGGGAAGGGAAGGAAAGATGGAAGGAAGGAGAGGAAAGATGGAGGAAGAGGAAGAAAGGAAGAGGAAGGAAGGAAAGATGGAAGGAAGGGAAAGGAGGAAGGGAAGAAGGAATAATGGAAGGAAGGAAGGAAAGGAAAGAGGAAGGAAGGAAGGAAGATGGAAGGAAGGAAGGGAAGGAAGGAAGGAAGGAAGAGGAAGGAAGGAAAGGATGGAAAAGGAAGGAAGGAAAGGAAAAGATGGAAGGAATAATGGAAGGAAGGAAGGGAAAGATGGAAGGAATAATGGAAGGAAGGAAGGAAAGATGGAAGGAATAATGGAAGGAAGGAAGGAAGGAGAGAAGTAGGGAAGGAGGGGCGGACGGAAGGACGGATGCAATAACAGAAAAACGGAAGGAAGGATAATGGGTGGAAGAAAAAAATGGGAAGGAAGGAATTAAAGGAAGAAAAAAGTTAATGGAGAAAACGGATGGAAGTAATGAGAGGAAGACGGAAGAAAGGAAAAATGCACGGTAGGAAAGACGGAAAGAATTAATAATGGTAGAAATGTAATAAGGACAAAAAATTATTAGTGTTTTTTTTCTTTCTTTTTTTTTTTGCTGAATTGTGTTATAGACGACTTACTCAGCTTCGCGTTAATAGTTCAATTTCCTATTTTTTCCCCGTTTCTTTACTTTTTTTTACCAGGAAATTATTTTATTATTCACTCCATGTGTGTGTGTGTGTGTGTGTGTGTGTGTGTGTGTGTGTGTGTGTGTGTGTGTGTGTGCAAGACTGATGAAATTCTCTTACGCCAAAATGCTGTTTAAAAGTTTGTAATAAAGTTTTGTGAGTAAGTGACGTTCTTTTAAGCCAGAATAAATTGTGGTGTTACATTTTCGGGTACACAGCGAGCGAGCTACGGACATATAATAATAATAATAATAATAATAATAATAATAATAATAATAATAATAATAATAATAATAATAATAATAATAATAATAATAATAATAATAATAAATAAACATAAATGTGATATGTCAGATATGTTATTTTTTTCCCCAATATTATACGTTAACTTCTCGCCTCTAGCATCGAGAAACCTAATTGACTGAGCGGGAGCCAATCTGATATCTAAAAAAAATCTGATCTGGTGTTGCCATAGTGACATAAAGGTGTGTGACAAGTGTAAATACCGTCGCTATTGAACCGTGTTTCTTAGAGAGAGAGAGAGAGAGAGAGAGTGAGAGAGAGAGAGAGAGAGATAATATGAAGAGGGTACTAGATGTAATAAGCAGTAATTAGGGGTCGAAACAAAGAACTAACTGCCTATGATAGTTACTCTTGGGAACAGAATTTCAAAAACAACCTTTAAAAATAGACCATCCACACATTCCTTATTAGTTACGCTCCCCTCACTGATAATGATAAAGGAAGGAGGAGAAGGAAAGAGGAGGAGAAGGAGAGAGGAGGAGTAGGAGGACAATTATAAGGAGCAGAAGAAGTAGGAGGAGGAGAAGAGAGAGGAGGAGGAGGTCAATAATGAGCAGAAGAAGTAGAAGGAGGAGAAGAGAGAGAAGGAGGAGGAGGACAATAATGAGCAGAAGAAGTAGAAGGAGGAGAAGAGAGAGAAGGAGGAGGAGGACAATAATGAGCAGAAGAAGTAGAAGGAGGAGAAGAGAGAGAAGGAGGAGGAGGACAATAATGAGCAGAAGAAGTAGAAGGAGGAGAAGAGAGAGAAGGAGGAGGAGGACAATAATGAGCAGAAGAAGTAGAAGGAGGAGAAGAGAGAGAAGGAGGAGGAGGACAATAATGAGCAGAAGAAGTAGAAGGAGGAGAAGAGAGAGAAGGAGGAGGAGGACAATAATGAACAGAAGAAGTAGGAGGAGAAAAAGAAGGAAGACAGAAGAAAGAACCAAAATAAAAAAATAATAAAAAAGGAAGTAACTGTAGAAAAAGGAAGAAGAAATAGAAGAAGAAGCAAAATAAGAATAAAGAGAAGAAGAAGAAGAAGAAGAAAGAGAAGAAAATAAGGAAAAAACAGCAATTGTCTTCAACTGTCTCTCTCTCTCTTACCCTCCTGTTCGACGTTGTAAACCTCAGATGTTGAGAGGGTGTTGTGAGGTTGTGACGGTGGTGGTGTTGTAAGGTTGTGACGGTGGTGGTGTTGTAAGGTTGTGACGGTGCTGGGGTTGTAAGGTTATGACGGTGCTGGGGTTGTAAGGTTGTGACGGTGCTGGAGTTGTAAGGTTGTGACGGTGCTGGAGTTGTAAGGTTGTGACGGTGCTGGGGTTGTAAGGTTGTGACGGTGCTGGGGTTGTAAGGTTGTGACGGTGGTGGTGTTGTAAGGTTGTGACGGTGCTGGGTTGTAATGTTGTGACAGTGCTGGGTTGTAAAGGTTGTGACGGTGGTGGGTTGTAGGGAACGTGACGGTGGTGGTGTTGTAGGTTGTGACGGTGCTGGGTTGTAGGTTGTGACAGTGCTGGAGTTGTAAGGTTGTGACAGTGGTGGTGTTGGGTTGTGACAGTGCTGGAGTTGGCAGGTTGTGTGACGGTGCTGGAGTTGTAAGGTTGTGACGGTGGTGGTGTTGTAAGGTTGTGACGGTGCTGGGTTGTAGGTTGTGACGGTGCTGGAGTTGTAAGGTTGGCAGCGACGGTGGTGGTGTTGTGGGTTGTGACGGTGCTGGAGTTGTAAGGTTGTGACGGTGCTGGAGTTGTAAGGTTGTGACGGTGCTGGGGTTGTAAGGTTGTGACGGTGCTGGAGTTGTAAGGTTGTGACGGTGCTGGAGTTATGAGGTTGTAAGAGTGCTGGGGTTTATCATGATTGAATAACACGAGAAACACACCTACCAGATGACCCAATAACGGGTGATATTTTATTAACATGATTTTACCAGCATGTATGAACGTTCGGCCAGACCCAAACGCAACAATACCCGCGTTTAGGGGCTAATACATCAACCTCACGTCCGTTCAACATTACACAAAGGCTACAAATCACGGAATGACAATTTAAATCATGCTACTGTACACTTATCAAGGGAAAATTATATTAATTCATAAACACAATGAAATACAGTTTAGAGTTATGACGATTATTTTGTGTTTATTTTACAATGTTTCTAAAGGTAATGTATAATTTATTCATGCATTAAAAATAAGATAATATAAACTAAGTGACAATAATCAGACAGCCACAGTCCCAATACACTGGAGTCACTCATAGCGTCGCCAGTATAGTGTTACAAATGAGTCGTGTACGAGGAAACACTGTGTTGTTGTATGAAGTGTTTCAGAAGCCAGAGAGTCTTTTATGTCATTCATGGTTACAGCACAGAACAGCAACTGACCCATCCACCCAGTTATAGTCGTGGAAAATATGCGTTGTTGTTGCTTTAATGTATTTCTTTGCTATAACAAGTAAGGTGTTTTAAATCATATCACCTGAGTAGAGTTCATACACAGAGCAACTAGTATTAACATTTAAAGGGGGATATATCCGTATGTGTGATATGGGATTCGTTACTACACCAGATGTAAGGTCTCTCTATGTAGCCTGAGAATATGTAAGCGATACATATATACTACTGTGTGTCTTATGTATTTTGTAATTTTATCATATATGGTTTTTAAGCAAACTAACTAGATTCGTTTTTTTTTTACACAACATCAGATAAAATTAAAAGGAATTGTACGGTAATCTTTCTATGTGTAATGTTAATGGTGGTATAGTACTGCTGGTAAGTCAAGAAGGATCATTTATCACGTATGGTTAGGGACATCGTTCGTACACTGGAGACCAACTGGTAAGAATTGTAGAGATCTATTTTTCGTTTTTCGACAAGAGACAGGTTTAGACAGTGGCAGGATCTTTCACACACACACACACACACAACACCACCACGCACGCACGCACGCACACACACACACACACACACACACACACACACACACACACACACACACACACACACACACACACACACACAACACCACCACGCGCACACACACACACACACACACACACACACCACCCACGCGCAAGCAAGCGCACACACACACACACACACACACACACACACACACCCCCACCACCACCACGCACGCACACATCCACCCAACCGCTCACTGCTGGCAAATTACGCAGGGAATCAAGTACCTAAACAATATTTTGGTGAAAGTTTGGTGGCAAATGGTGGAAAATTGCAAATATAAATATTGCAATAAAGCGGTAGTTTTTTGTATTGCAAGGATAGGAAATGGTTTGCAAATTCAAGAATTAATGCATATAATCGGAAATTGCAACAACAACGTTGAAAATGATTGTTGGGGGGACATGTATTTCCAGTTGTTGTCAATTTGTGTGTGTGTGTGTGTGTGTGTGTGTGTGTGTGTGTGTGTGTGTGTGTGTGTGTGTGTGTGTGTGTGTGGGGCTCTGTTACGGGGAGTGACTTCAACACACACACACAGCTATACCGAAACCTGGATATTTTTAGCGATATTATTTGTCTTTATTCATAAGACCTTACTTCTTATCGGTATTATTCTCCTTATCATCAACATCCTATTAAATACTGACAGCATCCTATTATATACTAACAATATCCTATTTAATTACTAACAACACCCTATTTAATTATTAACAACACCATATTTAATTACTAACAACATCCTATTTAATTACCAACAACATATTTCTTCACAAACTCCAAGGTTAATGGAGTTGCTTCGTATAATTTTCACATTTCACTCGTGTCATCTTTGGAATTTTTTAATAAATTGGATAAAAACTAAAAAAAAAATAGAGGCAGTTTTGATTTTTTTTAAATATTCATCTGGCAACTTTTTCGTCTTGGCGTGAACTCAGTAGAGGATTTTTATTTTCATAAATATCTTAGGATGAATAAAACGAATATCAATGTTTAAATTTTATTCCATTGCTAAAGATGTGAAGTATTTGATGAAAGGTGTGGTAGGTAGTTCCCCCTAGTGTGGTAGTCTGGGGTGTAAATAAGTTAAGGGGGTAGAGGTGCTCCAAGATGGGATAATAACAGAAGGGGACGAGTGTACCCTCCCAGCTGCCCCTGTCACCTGGTGTGTGTGTGTGTGTGTGTGTGTGAATAATAATAATAATAATAATTAACAGTTTATCGAAAGAGCTTGGCTGCCGGAAGGCTAAAAATATACAGTTACATAATTGGGGAATGGGTCACTTGATTGACAAATAATATACAAGTAACATAAGTGATACAAATATGATATATTATAAGGTGGGGAGAAGGTATTTCAACACAGTGACTTCAAAAATGTAAGATTGGCTGGGAGTGAACACACTGGTTGACTACGAGATGTTGATAATTTTTACAATGGTTGGGACTGGGTTGTTCTTATAGCGATCAGTACGTGCTCGTGTGGGCTGTATGCGGTTGAGGTATCTAACAGCAAATCGCGGACGAGGGATCTCAGGTGGAAGTAAGAGCCGGTGTCGAGGATGGTGCAGAAGCTTCACACAAAATTTGCAGATGAGGTCGTGGTGATAATCAGAGAGAGCCGAGAGGGTCAGTGTGTGTGTGTGTGTGTGTTGCAGGCTTTCCGGGACAAGTAAAGCATTCTTAACGTGCACCAAATCCTCTATTGACTGACCGATTAAATAACCTCCAGTCTTAATCAACCACCTGACCTAACCTAACCAGTAGGATTAAAACCCATTAGGACTACTCGGGTTAAAAGTTCGGATTACATAAGCTTAGGTTAAAAGCCTTATTAAGATTAATCTCTTTATCATGATTGGGTCTTGTGTCCATATCATCAGCCAACCACCGCCGCCGCTCCCTGGGTCGTGGTGGAGGGTGGGAGAAAACACGTCACCTGGTTTACACTTTTACAGGGCGGGTGTAAAAATGTAAATGAAGTTGTATACGGTGACGTGAACCAGAATAAATGATTCATCCCTCTCATCACCCGTCCCCTTTCCTCCTTCCCTCCCTCCCTTTTACCCCTCCTTCCCTCTTACCCCTCCTTCCCTCTTACCCCTCCTTCCCTCTTACCCCTCCTTCCTTCTTCCCCACTCCATCCCACTCTTCCCTCTCACCCCCGAGCTCCAACTGAGTGTATGAGTCGTTATTTAATCCCGTTGATGTGTTTGTGGTTCATTGTTAATGTGTGAAATATATTAGTTCTCTCTCTCTCTCTCTCTCTCTCTCTCTCTCTCTCTCTCTCTCTCTCTCTCTCTCACACACACAAAATCAAATTCTTCGTTTTTTATTTCTTTACCTAAGGATGATATAGATAACACTAGTGAATTTAGACTAGAGGCTCTCTTATAGTCGAGCACACAATATGTTCTCAAATACCTTCATAATAATAAAAATAATAAAATAAAATGAAACAACAACAATAATAATAATGCAAACAACAACAATAACGTCACCAATCGTAACAAATAATAATAATAATAATAATAATAATAACAATAATAATAGTAATAATAATAATAATAATAATAATAATAATAATAATAATGTCGTCAAGTCTTATAACTATTTCTCCATTACTACAGAATAGTCTTTGTAAATTTGGGTACCCCCACTGAGGCCATTACCTATGTACTGTATTGAAGTTTAAGTGAGTTAGTTTCATACGGCCTCACAGTTCAGGGGAAAATTGACCGTTAGAACTTTGAGAAACTAAACTCAGAATTCTTAACAGTTTATGGACCTTTGAGAAACTGTGCTCTGAATTACAAAAGTTTCAAACGTGTGGATTTTTTTTTTGTGTGTGAAACTTTGCTGTGAATTATGAGTGCTTTATGGAATGTTTCAAACGTGAGAACATTTGTGGTGATTTGGTTCTAAATTATTATGTTTCAAACTTACGAACCCTAAGGAAAATTTAACATACTGGAACCTCTGAAAAATTGTCCTCAGGAGTTGATAAAAGTTGTAATCATCTTGTCATTATCAAAAAAAGGTATCAGGTTAACACAGGTGAGCGAGACATCCTCTGTTTACATTGTTGGGTGCAGAGATGTGTGACTTTTACATCGGTACCTTTTTACGTCTCCTCTGTTCGTCTTCATCAGCCCAGGAGTCGTATAGGTAGTGGGGTGACCTTGACTCTTCCTACTTGTGAGTGACCCCCTGAGCCGGATAAAGGTCATTATATGCTGCCCTAGTTGTAATAGGTTTCAGTTGTAATAGGTTCCCTTTCTAATAGGCCCAAACCTAACCTAATCTCATCCCCTTTAGCGTCGAGAGTGATGGGGGGGGGGGTGAGGTGAGGTTAAGTTAGGTTAGGTTAAGTTAGGTTAGGTTAGGTTAGGTTAGGTTAGGTTAGGTGGGTGTCTGTTATCTCTTTGGTCTAACAAGGCTGAGATTTATTGACATTGGGGACTAGTACAGCTGGGATCTCTTAGGACTGGGGTGGGCTTATTGATTCTGGGGTCTATTAGATTTGGAATGTATCAAGAAGAGTGGGGAGTCATTTGCTTATGTCATCCCACCCACCCATTCCCCTGCCCCTGTCACCCCTGCCTCTTTCACCTCCGCCCCTTCACACCCCCCCACGTCAAACCTGTCCACTGTCTCCCCTCCTCCCTTTTTACTACCTCCGCCCTGGTCACCCCTTCCCTGTCACTCCTGCTCCCCCCTGTCATCCATCCTCCCGTCACCCCTGCCTCCCGTCACCCCCTGCCCCCTGTCACCCTGCCCCCTGTCACCCTTCCCCGTCACCCCCTTCATCACTTCGGCAGCCTAGACTTTCAAGAGAGTGTTATAATATCAAG